ACTGTATAATGATAAATACAACTAGTAAATATGAAATAAGTAACTTGGCATGTACAACATGATGAGAAACTACCCATTGGTAGCACTCCAATTATATTTCTATATTAGAAGGTCCCGAGGCTATCTTCTTTTCAGAAGCCTCGAAGGGTTATCATGAATAGAAGAGGAAGCAAGGTTGGAAACAAGAGGATTCAGATGGTTCAGAAGTTTATTATGGAAGGATAGGTATCTGGATTGAGCTTTTTTTAAATTAATAATTTTATTGAGGTATAATACATTTTACCGCACTTCAGGGTACTGAGCATTAAAGCTGTAATTTACATTCATACTATATTTACAATATAATAAAATAAAAAAAAGGAAATACCTACAAATAGATATATAAAAGTTAATAATGTATATATAACAAAAATAAAAACTGTATTATAAACAAAGAAATATATCTTATAGTGAAATAATACAGAAAAAAAATGAAAACGAAACTAACAGTCATACTTATTTACTGGATTGAGCTAAATCGGAAACATATGGTAAATTAAGTTCGTTATGGATGATTTTATTTGTGACTAAGTAGGGAGCATTGAGGATTTTACGAAAGATTTTTGATTGTAGGGATTGGATACGAGAGGAATTTGATGGTTTAGTAGAGACCCAAAGCTCGATCCTGTAAGTCCAAATAGGCCTTATTTTAGTAATATTTATGAGCCTTTTGTAAATAGTTGGAAGTTTAGAGCTTTTGTCTAGTAAGTAGTCTGCAGTAGTCGAAAACGTCGGGAGGTTTCCAGTCGTTTCAGTCTGGTATGGGGTAGTTCAATTTTATAAAAAAATTGATACTTATATTCCTTGAAATAGGAAAATCAGTTTATGTAAAGTATTTTTTATTCGTTTATTCCAATCCAAGATAGCGGTCATTTTAATGGATCTTTGTAATCAGAAATCTGTTTATTTTGCCGTCACGACCAAATACACAGTTGAATTTTCTTCAAATTAGATATCGATATTTCTTAATGACATAAAATTATTTATTTTAATATAATCAGGAGGTTAGTATTTTACAAATAATTATGTAGATGTAGCGGAATTTTTTATCTATATATACATGCCTAAATAATTTCAATTATGGATACAATGTAACAGTTTTTCATGTTCATGTCATGATTTATAAGTGTATTATTACATATTTATTTAAATATCTTTAATTAAAACAATTGACACTAAATATAGATTAACTTTAGGTTGTTCGAGTTGATCTTTACGCTTCATACTTCACGCTGTTCTTATATTTAACTTTTGGAAATACTATAAGGTTTTTATGAACTTAATTATTATTCCAAAAAAAAAAATTTTGAATAACAAAAAATAATACAAAAACATTCTTTGTCAAATACAAAAAAAAGTTCATTAAAATACATTTATTCTAAAGTTTGTATCATTTTTAAAAAATCAATGATCTACCATTGTGATATAATAAAAATTATAAGGAAAATATAACATCCATGTGCATGTTTATATGGAAAGACACACACCCCCCTCTTTTCTAAACACAGTGGAGATTATAATATTTATTTTTCATCTCTAAACTACTCTTGGTAATTTTAAAATCACAAAAATTTAATCTTAATTTCTTCAACTTCTTTAGGACAAATGATACCTTATTTTATAATTATAATGACTTCAAATTTAACAGCTTAAGAAAAAACTTAATGAGAAAACATGGATTGTTACGAAAATTTGGATATCATAACAATTTAATTGTGATATTTTATCTCTATTGAGGCCGCAAAACTATTTTTTTTTTAATTTATGAAAACTAACACAATAAGAAGTATAGATATATTAGGCAAAGTGCTAGTGGTAAGGGAATATTTAAATTATTATTCGAGCTAGAACTTAATTTGCGGATCGAAAATATACTTTCTTTGCTATCTCATATTACTTCTTATTTTCCAAATTTCTCAGCCGATGTTAATAATACAGCTTTAACTGTACGATCAAAATTTAGAAAATTACAAAGAAATTTTAAGAAAAAAAGTTCACCATGAAAGAAACAGTTTATCAATTGTTGGTTTCTTTTGTGAACACTGAGGCCTTAAGCGATTTTTGACGAATTTGATGAAGGTTATGAATAGCTTCTAAGGGTGGTAGCAGAGCTCTGGAAATTGTATCAGTATTATGATTCAAGCACCTACTAATTGTATTTATAATTATGTATATATTATATATTCATATTTATTTATTTTTATTTTTAAGAAATTACATGAAAACGAACTATCTTCACCTCTTCCAAATACATTATTATATCCCACTACTATTAGTCTTTGAGTCCATTTCAGTCCTTTGTATGGACTCCAGCAGACCGTAATTTAATCGGATTTAAGCTACACTTGCAGATTTATTTTTATTATTACGAAGACGTGCCTTTTATTGGTCTTAAGCCCTTGGTGCTTAATTGGTTAAAAAAATATGTTGGAAAACCGAATATCAAAACTTTTTGTGCACATTAAGCACATTACTAATTACATACCTTCTTTGACTCAAATATTAGTTCAAATCTTTTTTTTTATCACATTAAACGAAGAAAAATATGTTACATTTTGGTAAAAAAAACTTAAGAACATTCATTAGGTAAATTGAAAAAGCTAAGGAAAATCAGATTTATAAAATGTTTGTAGTTAATTTTTTTTTCTAACCCCCAAAAATATTATATAATTAAATTACATACATAAGCATAACGATTCTAATATATACAAATAACAAAGTCCTTCCACTGCCCGAGGGCATTTTAAGGATTGGCGATAGGTAAGGGGAATATTTGTGGCACAAGGCCTTGAAACTTTCATTGAACGGGGAGGGACCGTTCTGAAAATTAAAGTTAAATAATGCATATAAAAATATTAATTATAAATTATAATCAAGAAAATCGGGAATGATATTAAATAATTTCAGCTGAATTAATTAGTGTAGTAGGAATCAGTATTAATCTATTAAAAAGCCCGAGCCAAATACATATCCTTTCATGATAAACTCCAGTCCCATCCGAATCCACTTGCTTCTTCCTCGATTCCTGATAATCCCCCTAGGCGTCTGAAAAGAAGATGGCCTGGTGATCATCTCACCTAGAATTAAATAGGGAGTGATACCACTGGGCAGTATCTCTTCAAGTCTGTTCTTGTCATGATTTCTAATGTGTGCATTTTAACTAGTTGTATTGTTTATACAGTTGCAAATTTCGTTAAATAAATAAATAACCCATTAAAGTGTAAAATGTTTACTTAATCTTTAAAAGTAACCCCCATTAAAAGTATTTATTTATAGTTTATATTTCCTGTTAATCCAAAATTGTTATAATTATTCAAAACGATATTCTCGATACCTCTATTTTTATTGAGAGGCTCCCGAAGTTTGAACCTATTATCTAACCTATAGACAAATCTGATAATAAACTCTTAAAATTCACTAACTATTAAACAAACGCAAACAAATTTATATAATAAATAATGAAATTTAAATAAATATGTCATAAACACATTATTTTATTATTTTTTTTCTGAACAATTCAAGTGATTTCAATTTCAAATAAGTAAAACAAAAATACATAAATATCATAATACTATATATATATATCGAGAGAGAGAGAGAGAGAGAAATGAAAAATTTATGTATAAGTTGTGTTTTCGATTTTAACAGAAAGAAAAACAAGGCAGTTAGAACCACAACTATAAAATATAGATCCGTTCAGTAGAGCAATTTTTTGATATTTTTTACGATATTGCAAGAGAAGGTTGAACTTTAGAATTTTTTTTTTCAATTTTAAAATTAAATTATTTTCAATATAATTTAACACACCCACTTCAACCAAGGTGTTCAAAGATCCTAAATCAAATTTAAAATAAACACCATTGAAATAAATATTTCTTTTGAAAAAACTCACTTATCGATCTGTATTTGGGATAATTACTTATTACACTGTATATTTGTTTTTATTTTATATAGAACTTCTGTTCACCAGTTATTATAAAATTGAGGAATCTACCTCTTCCGAATTCATTCTAACGTTATATATAGAAATGAAAAATTTATGTATAAGTTGTGTTTTCGATTTTAACAGAAAGAAAAACAAGGCAGTTAGAACCACAACTATAAAATATAGATCCGACCAATAGAGCAATTTTATGATATTTTTTACGATATTACAGAAGAAGGTTGAACTTTATTCAATTTTTTCGATTTTTAAATCAATATTACTTTAAAACTCTCTCCGATCAAGTTGTAATAAAGTCCTAAATGAAATTATAATACTTAAATAATTATTGAAGCAAATATTTCTTTACGTTGCTGATCGAGTTCGAATTTCAAATACACAACCCCCTTATATTAATAATCCGGAAATCTTCAGAAATTCTTAAGACTTTTGTTACTTTAATTTAAACAATAAAAAAAAACGATTTTTTAAAATATGTATTATATTCTACAATTATGAAAAATATAATGTTTTTATTTTGGTTATTTCTTTTACTCCCCTCCACCTAAGTTAGACAAATACATAAGTAATGCATTTAATAATTATTGAGAATTATTTTAATCACTGCATTAAAATTTTTGTCAATATATTTTTCTTATTCGATAATGTCTACAATTATTGCGAATTAATGTTGTGACTCTGAGGCCTCTTAAATATTTTTTAGAATTGGTAAAACTGTTTTAGGTAACCGAGTATACAAGCATTCCGCCAAGTACTTAGTAGCAACTATAGATTTCTCTCACTGCTCGGTATTTTGCCCAATCAGATAAAAATTTTGTTGAAAAGTATTCCTCCGGATTCGTACATAGGTGGAATCCATGTGCCAAAAAACTGTACACATAGCCCTTGGAAAAACGGCGAAGGGGCCCAGCCTTCCGAACGCTGTAATGTTTACATAACAATAGTTAATAACGAGCGGCAGAACAGGGGAGTGGAAGTATATAAGCCTGGCCCGCCCGCTCTTGGGTACACAGTCAGCGATCAACACAGTCAGGGATATGTACCCACAGGCAGTGAGTATCAGTACTTTAGTGTATAGTGTACAGTAGTGAGTACGGCGGCAGTAGTGGTGGCGCTGGGGGAGGTCAAGTGAAGTTTTATATAAAAAAAAAAATAATAATAATTTTATCAATTCTAAAAAAAATATTTAAGACACATCAGAGTCACAACATTAATTCGTGATAATTATAGACATCATCGAATAAGAAAAAAAGTATTGACAAAACTTTTAATGCAGTGATAAAAATAATTATTCAATGCATTACTTATGTCTTTGTTTAACTAAGGTGGAGGGACTAAAAGAAATGACCAACATAAAAACATTATATTTTTCATATTTAAAAAAATATTTTTTTTAAATTCAAGTAAAAAAAATTCTAAACCATACATGCATATTTCTAAAGATTTTCGGATTATTAATATTAAGACATTTTTGTAGTTGAGATTCGAATTCGATCAGAAATATAAACGAATATTTGCTTCAATATTTATTGAAGTATTATAGTTTCATTTAAGACTTTATTACAACTTGATCGGAGAGAGTTTTAAAATAATATTGATTTAACAATCGAAAAAATTAAATAAAGTTCAACCTGCGCCTATGTAAAAATTATCATAAAATTGCTCTATTGCTCGGATCTAACTTTTATAGTTGTGGTTTTAACTGCGTTGTTTTACTTTCTGTTAAAATCGAAAACACAACTATTATACATAATTCATTTTTAACCATAACATCATAATAAATTCGGAAGAGGTAGATTTCACAATTTTATAATACTCGGTGAACAGAAGTCACATACAAAATAAAAACAAATAAATAGTGTAATAAGTAATTACCCCAAACACAGATCGATAGGTGAGTTTTTTTAAAAGAAATATTTGTTTCAATGGTGTTTATTTTAAATTTGATTTAAGATTTTTGAACAACTTGGTTAAAGTGGGTGAGTTGAATTATATTTAAAAAAGCTTAATTTTACATTTGAAAAAAATAAAATAAATTCTAACCTTAGCCTAATTAAAAACATCTAAACCGTTAGATTATTATTTATTTATTTATTTTTTTTTTATCAACTTATGATATTCATGCAGGATTTTTGTTTATTTTTAGTTCCGGAGAATTTCATCCATTTCAAATCATTAAAAATAACCTTAAATATGAATTGAAAACTCGATTATTTTCAACCTTAATTTATCATACCAACATATAGAAATGGCACTATTAACTGTGGTATAAAAAATATAGAAAATTTTTTTGTGTTGGTTGATTTTTGAAGTACGATTCAATCAAGAAAATTTTTTTTAAAGAATATTGGATATCTTTGTACATGAAAATTTTTATTTATGCGATATGAAAACATGTTGCATTAAACTTGTGGATTTTAAAATACTGAAAAGTATCTTATTTTCAAATATTAAGATTTTAAATCCAAACATAATTATATGAGTATCGAATCATGAAATTTCATCAGTTGAAACTGAAATATCATAAAATCCGTGGATATTGATTCGATGAAGAACGTTCCGGCCTCGAATTGGCGATTTTTTTTCATTGTTATATTCAAATATTTAAATAAATATATTTTCAAAGCAATCAATGAGGAAACCACGACAAGTCTCAATAGTTGGCAAGAGACAACGTGGGAGGCCGAAACTCAGATGGATAGGTAGAATCAACAGCCCAAGATAAGCAGGGGTCGAAAAGGCTGATTTAGAGAGTCAAAGATCTATATATAGTTTATATAGTTTTTTAAATAATTATTCATCGATTCAGGGATCAAAAGCTATATTTCATCAACAGTATACCAATAGCATATGGAGGTGTATGGACTCCGTTGTACGAAAGTATTGCAGGGAACTGGGGAGTTATTAAAAACCCACTGGGATATGGAAATTGAACTATATTGTTGATGGCGTTTTATCAAAGAAACCCATCATTAATCCAAAGAAGCGTTTGAAATACAAAATAATGTCCAATAAATATTTCATGAATATCTTTTAAAGAAAAGACCAAAGTTTATGTTGCAATACTTCGTCTTCAGATTATTTGGAGCACATAGATGATTGGGAAGATTAAAAAAAATCTGGATTTTACTAGGATGAGCCATCGAATGTTTGCATTTTCCAATATAAACAGTAAAGTAACTACGGCATTAAGAAACATACCTAAAAAAATTTCGAATGATCAAAATCGATTAGTTATTGGTGCAATAATTCTTGCTGAAACGAGTATAATTGTCATGTACATTCACGACTACCAATCAGTGAACTTATTCAACCTCGAAGATTCCACAAGTGTTGATTAAATCTTTTGTCCGCTTTCTCTTGGATTTTCGCTACTGATTAATTTTTTGGGATAAGGTGGGTAAAAAATTGAAAGATCTGCCATTTTCTTACCTTTTTATAGACTGTGAGATATTTTTAAACTTACCAGTTAAAAGTTAAAATATTACATGTCTTGCCTCTAATGAAACATTTCCCGATCTTTATTGCTTATAAAATTTGGAGTGATAAGACGCCTTCATTTGAGTTTTGACAATACTAGTTTTAGATTTTTTTTTGTTATTTTAAGCAACAAAGTTTTTTCTTTAAAAAAAAAAATGTTGTGTCCGGCTAATTGTGATTGTTTCCATTTGTTAAAAATCAGATATTTATTGTTGATTAATTATTTATTTATATATCGATTAGGACAGGAGATATAAGATCCATGATGTCGAAATATAACATGACCACTTTCCAAATCGAGAACATTTGTTATTTTATTTTTCTGCCACGGTATAAGAAAAAGTAAGTATCCATTGCGTGTAGTCCTGTCCGCCTTAAACACATTTGAATATTTGTAAAATATTCGTGTATTGATAGTTCGTGATTCTAATGAGCTGACAACAAATTAAAAATAAAAAAGAAGTTGTATTTAAACTCAATGTATCATAAAATACCTGCGAAATCGTTAGGACATCCAGCAATTTTTTTTTTCCTTTGATGCTAATTTTTTGAAATCCGATTTTCATAGATTATTACATTGATTGGCAAATCGGGTCGATTAAGACGGTTGGAGGAGTTATTGCTGGCAGTAAGGGTGTCCTATATATTTTCCACTCCAGTGCACCCTCTTTTAAATGGTTGACGTCCACAGCTGTCACTCGGCAATGAGTTGAGAAATATTGATATATAACACGTCCCGACAATTACCTCGCTGATACTGTGTCCCTGCTGAAAAAGGACTTGTGTCCAATCGGGGCGGTGCGGGTTAGCATACCCCCTCGATCTAAGGCTTACGAAATAGGGTGGCTCAACCAAGGGTTGCTCATGTTTGGAAAACCAATGTAGGGTTATTATTTTTATTTTTTGAGACTGAGTAATTTTTAATTTTATTAAAAATAATATTTTTTAACTATGGTTGGTCACTTCAATTTACCAGATAAAGATTTATTTATTTTTTTTATTCATTTATTGCTATTTACAACTATATACATATATACAGCAATAAATCTTCTAAAATAATATAAAATATGATAAGTAATTAAGAAAAGCTAATCCTTGGTAACACTTCAACATTATATTAATATAGGGTCCCTCGGACATCTTCTTTTCAGAAGCCACGGAGGGTTGTCAGGAATAGTTTTGGATGTAAGCTTATGAACTGGATGGTCTGGGTAACCAAAGAGTTTGGAATGGAAAAAGAAACATCAAATAGAGGCCAAGTCATCAACAAAGGGAATGTTGAGATCTTTATGGATAATTTTATTTGTGACATAATAAGAAGCATTCAGGGTTTTTGGGAGGATTTTGGAATGTTATGATCGGAATAGGGAAGAATTTGATGATTTTATGGATACCCAAAACTTATGTATATGTGTTGATGAATCAAGTTAAGCAGAAAAAGCTAAAAATTATAGAGTAGTAATGAATTAAAAATATTTATTTAACCAATTATAATATTCGTCGTTTCTTTTTTTTTTTTTTTCTATTATTTTACTTACTTATCAATTTTTATAATACATTAAATTCTGGTAAACTACAAATTAAGGATTAAAACTTTTATGTGACTTTTTTAAAAGTTGTAATTTTGCAGTTTCTATTAAACCATTTTAGGAAAATAACTTTTTAACAAGCAATTTTTTTTGTAATGAGGTACTTGTTGCACGGTAAAATTTTAAATAATATTTATTTTAAAAAAGTAACGCTAATCGATAATTAAATAGTTATTGGGTTTACAGTAGAGTAATAATTTATCTTGAATGAATTACTTGATTCGAATTTGTCGTTTATTTGAGCAGCTAAGAATAAAAGGAACATTTTGGTAAATTAATCGGAACTTTTAAATAAAAGTTTTTAAAAATTGAAGTTACGTAAAAGGTTTATTTAAAATGTTAAAAGGGAAAAAAAATTTATCATAAAATAATATTTAAAAAAATAAAAATAAAGATTCCAGTAAAACAGAAACTGATAAAAAATAAAAGCTCAAAAGTTATTACAATCTCAGCTACAAAGAACTTTCTTTCGTAACTGAGGAACTCTGCTTCCGTTAATTGTAACCCTCAACGAATTGCAAACTAAAACCACAAAATTATCTATGGAAGTAATTATACATACAACAAATTTTTGACTTTCAAGTTAACAATTTTCAGTTAACACTTCAAAGCTTTTTATTCATGGATGTTGTAAGAAAAATGTTTAATTAGTAGAACCAAAAATTTCTACTCATTTAATCATTAAGGAGCGAATCTGATTTTGATGAGATCTTCAAGGATTATGTGGGTTGTTACTTAGGTGGCCCCCTTCGATTTTATCTAATTCTATTCGCTACTTTCACTAAGTTTGCGCTTTTTTATTGACACTCCATTGTTTCAGAAATATTCCTTTACGGCTCCAAGTTAAAACAAAGTTGGGAATTAGATTAAAAATGATTAACGGTCAATGTTATCAAATTTCGTCCAATTTTTCCCGCTAAACATGTAAAAATGTACATTCATTTAACATTAGAAGAAAGTTATAAAAAGCTACGCAAGAAAGTTGCGGAGTTCCTTAGAACGTGTAAGTAAATTTATCATTTGACCCAATCCTACTCACGTTTATTCAAGGGCGTAGTGTATGGAGGGTTCAGGAGCAACGTGTAACGGCGATAGCCAGTGACAGAAATCGAATTTAACAATCTACTAGAAAAAAAAAAAGGAAATATAAAGTTAATAGAAAATAAAATATTGATGCGGAAATCTCTGGATAAGATTTTCTATAAGTTTATAGTACTGTGAAATTCGGTGGTTTCTGAGGTCCTCCAAGATATTATTGCTTTCCTCTTCTTAAAAACAATGCAAGCGAATGTAGAATTTGGATAATCGTAGAACATATACAATTACAATTGCTGCGGTCTGTTCTATTTTTCCTCTGGTCCTATAGATTGAAACTTTTAATTCCGCAAATTCACAGTCCCATCGAAATGTGTCTCCCACAAAAAGTTAGATGCGCCATGAAACCTCTTTATGGACATCTCTGGTGAAATGGAGAAAAAAAAAAAAAGGTAATTCCTTCATAACATCTGATTGCACAATGCTAAACATGGAAAAACGGTCGATTTAAAGGAGATTTCTTGTTTTATAAAACATGTCCAGATCATCTGACAAGATTGATTGCAGAACTGCTGACATAATTGTTATGGGCCGTTATATGAAAAAGAACTTTTTTTAAAATCAGTACTAACAGTTATAAGACCCGGGAATGATTTTATATTTGAACTAAAGGTATGCAAAAACATTTTAGATAAAATCAAATCTGATAAAAAATCTTTAAAAAATTTAAAACACATTAGTTTGAAAAATATGTTAATTTCAATTAAGTTTTTTCTTTATAATTACTGATTAGGATGAGAGCCGCTGTGTGATAAAAAATAAAATATTATGGTTCTTTTAGTTATAGAACCAAATATTAAAATTGTAAATAATTGAAGTTTTCATTAACGTAATAATTCAAATTTTTTTTATTATAGATGTATTACACGATTAAGCAATAAAACGAACGCCCTTTATAAGAACGGGTTTTATGGAATACGGTTGAAGACATCGGTAATTATGGTTATACAATCGCATGATGTCACAACTAACGAAATCTAAAACAAAGCCGGCGGAACATTCCATTGTTTGTCTTAGTAAATCTTAATTTGCTTTGTTTTTCCTATTAATGAAATAGAATATATTTATTTTTACAGCTGCATTGGCAACATTTTTTAAAATGATTAACTCTCAACAACTGTTTACATTGAAAAAAAAAAAAACAATAAAACTTTAAAATCTATATTTTATTGGAATTATTAAATTTATAATTATTTATAAAACTGTCTTCTATTATACATGATTTAAAGGAGAGTTACAAATCGGCTTAGCAGGTCAGCTATTAGAGCTATGTATAAAAAACTTTCAAGAAGAAAACGATTAAAATTGGGTTGAGATTAGTCTTTTAATATCTTCATTCACACTCTCAGTGTGCTGTAAATATGATACAAAAATTGATTTTGGTAATTTTGTTTTGGATCATTGTTTTTAATTTTTTTTCAATTCATATAATGTAAGAGACCATTTATGAAGTTTTAGAATTAAATCTCAAAATAATTACTGAAACAGTTAAAGCTAAGTCACAAGATGGTGATTTTATTTTATTTTTTTCCTGATAGAAATTAAAAAATTGTATTTTTCAATGTCTTCCGTGTCATTCCACTTCTTACATTAAATGTTTTCATTCAATTATGTATTCCATGATTTATTATTGATTTTATTACATTAATTTTTAATTTCAATATTTCACAGCTCCATGGCTCAATTAAAGTTTATTTCCTTTAGGTCACTATCCCCAGTAACGTAAAGCTGTCTGGTGCTTTTCCAATAGATTTTCGGACGATTGGTTTCTTTAATTTGTTTCGAAGAATGGATTATCTTTTCTTTTAGGCCAAATCAAGACAAATCATTATTATTTTAGCAATAGCGAATGCCGGGAACAACGAAGCATTCATTCCACTCCAAAACAAACCGTTCTTGCTCACGACCGTATAATTCATAAAAACTGAAGATAATTCGATATTGCATTTCAAATAGATTATTCAGATTCAGATTGTTTATTAAAACGTCTTATAAAAACCTTTTCCCCACCCATCCAACGGAGCGTAAGATCACGTACTTACAAAACAAAGCGGTCATGTCTCGCATGACAGAGCAAACGTACAACTGGGATAATTATCACAGGAGAGCAATGGAACATTATTGTCGTTGCTTTTCTTTTTTTAGGTTGAGTAAAAACTGGTGCAACGACATCCGTATTTTGATAGGGGCCTGTGAAGAATTAAATAACACAAACCAGGTGACCGCAGGTTACCTAAGGGTACGATAAAGCATTAAATAATAGGGCCAAGAGTGTGGCCCCTTCTGACGCAACTGTCCACAACTGGGTGACTGTCCAACAACGCGTATGGGACTGTATGTAGAATTAATCAAAACAAAGAGCGTTTCGTAGTTCATGTACCAATAATAATATTTGCTATATGACCGAATTGAAGTAGCAAACAAGATGTAGTTATTAAATTCAAATATTGACATTGGATCACATAATTTTTTTCAGCTTTGAAACAACTAATTTTTCAAGAAATTTCTTATGATAGGAATGGAAGAAAAAACATGTAAAGAACCCTGAAGCAGATGATAGATCATATAGGGATTTTATTTATTACTATTGAAACGAATCATTTATTACTGTAAATTATTCAACTACAGCCATTGGTGTTTGTTGCAGGTATTTGTAACACTCTTAGGCCTGGCCTCAGTCATGGCCCAGGATGACGCCTTCGATTACAGCTCCTACAAGGCTCCGCCACCAGCCATTCTTATGCACAAACAGGCCCTACGACACGATGGCGCCTTTAACTACGTATTCGCAGCAGATAACGGACTGAAACAGGGTGAGACCATTGCTCCAGATGGCACCAGACAAGGAGCGTACTCCTACGTCGATCCAAATGGACAGACCATCTCAGTCAAGTACACAGCTGGCAAAGACGGCTTCAGGATCCTGGAGGGTGCGCACATCCCTAAACAACAAGCTGCTCCACAAGGGCCTCCTCAAGGACCTCCACAATATGTGTCCCCAACCCCTCAATACAGCCCACAAGCCAGGAGCCAATTCACCCCCCTTCGGCCACAGGAACCTTCATCCTATGAAGAAGATGGTCCAGCACCAACTCCCCTCCTCAGGCCACAACCCATTCCAACCTTCAGGTCCCAGATCAAACCAGTCCAGGAGTACGTACCCAGACCAGAGGATGAGCACAAGGGACCTCATTCCTTTGGATCAGGATACTCTTTCGAATTTGGAGGTTAAGTCATTAGTGAAGTATTAATGTTTCGTTTTTATACTTTTATACTTGTGCGTGCGTGATTATTGTACAAAATTGTTATATTACAACTGTTGATTTTTATTTTTGCTAATTTTTTCAGATCAATTCTAAACCCATACTTTAATACCAATACCATTACATAAAAAAAAAAAAAAAAAAAAATTGAAACAACATAGAAGGTGTAAAATGATATATAATTTATTTTAATTAAAAATAATTTAATTGAAAAATATCATGACCAGTAACAGGCTCAAAGAAGATCTTAAAGAGAATTAATAAAGTATTTTATGTTACAAAATTACTCAAATACAAAACATTGAATTTAATAAAAAAACAAATTGAATCTTCCATGAATAGACTTTATAAGATCACAATAAAAACAAGCTTTAAATAAGAAATGAAAAAGAGTAGTTTTGCTATAAATAAAAATGGAGACATACATGTATTATGTATTAAAATTTTAAAATCCTATTATAGTTTTTACAATTTGATTTCAATCAAATCAAAAGTAGGTAATACGTAACTTCTACTGATATAACATCTAGATAGGTTTATATATATATATATATATATATATATATATATATATATATATATATATATATATATATATATATATATATATCTAGAATCGAAAGTCATGGTGGAAATTAAATATACATAGACATATACATATCGTGTGTTCACATGTTTTTGAGCAATATGTGAGTCAATTAGATGTATTCAACTAATTTGATATGTAAATAAAAGAAAAATTAAAAATAAACAAAGTTGCATCCAGACTTTGATTGTGGTATTCTTCATCAGAAAATCAGCAGATTTATATTTTAGGTTTTGTTAAATGCATTATAAAAATAATATCAATATGTTATGTTTAAAAAAAAAAATAATAATGCACCGCAAACAATCAATATGGAACTATATTAAAATCAATCACTGTTGATTGATTATGAATTTAAATCCCTTTTTTGTTAGAATATCTGTCAATTGTTTCTAACACACTGTTAACTCACTGTTTTTGCATCATTAAGTAACCCATTTTGCTAAGGTCACTCCAAAAAATCAGCAAAAAACTAGTTTATCGTAATATGGACATCTGAGACATGAAGGGATTGATAATAACAAGATTGTAGACAGCAAGGAAGGGTTTTAAATTCACGGTTGTCAGTCTAGAAGCCAACTGCTGCATATCAAATAGCTCAATGATGAAAGATATTGAATTATGAGAAATTTGAGATACATTAAGTCTAATAACTGGTTTAAAACAATTAAACTGTATACCTAATTGTTGTACCTTTAAGGTTACCAAAAAAAAGTAATGAAAACTGTTAATAGTAAATGTTCTTCTCATGGGCCATGCCTTGATGGACATCATTTCAACAATACAATTATTAGTAAATAATATGCCATTTTCTCCATTAATTGACCAATATTTATTACTTAGTTAATTATTATCAATAAAATTCATATTAAGAAATGGTATGGTAATTATTATTAAATTGTAAACAACAAACCAACAAGAGACAATCTAATCTGACTGGTATTTAGTTTTGATATGTTATTAAATTTGAAAAAAAGAAAAAAAGATTTAGTTACATAACAGAATTTGGCTATGGAAAAAGGATAGGTTTGAAAAAATTATGGTCGCTAACCTGGTGTCTCATCACTCTTAGGCCACCAAGGTCTCACTCACTGATTTATTAATAATGATAATAAAATGTCATGTGCTGTAACCAATTTAATATTAGGTTTCATTAATAGGAAATTTTTTGGAATGACATGAATCAGTGTATTATACTCTACTATCCTGCTTACCAATCTTTAATCAGTATCTGATTTGTTAATGAAAAAGCTGCAATAGTACGCATATTTTATTAATGCTAACCCACAAGCTAACAACATTATGTATATAAAAAATGAATATTACAGTTACAGAGCAGAAGGAATGAAGTAGAGATGTGTATCTTTAAAAATATTCAAACTTAAAGTCAGGTTTAGGAGGCACATGATCTACAATTAAAGAATAATTAGTACATTTTTATTAATCGACCTACAATATTACACTTTAAGATAAGTTCAGCCTATGATGTCCAACAAGAAACAGTTCATACATCACCCAGAAACCAATTATTTTTAATACAAAAATGCCTTGATATTTCAAGGCATGACAGGAGAGCATGCAAGTTGCTTCTAATCAATAGAAAAGACATAAAATACTGAAATCCATAATATAATATTTCTGAAAAAAAAGCTTTGTAGTTTATTGCAACAAAACATTTGGGTTTTATAGTTATACCAATAAAAATAAATAATGGATTGTGTATTTTGGAACAAATTTAACTGATTTTAGATAAACTAGGATGGAGTCAGGGGAAAAGGAGGTGCCTTGCACCCCTCCCTTCCCTTCAGACATCTTAGCCCAGCTAAAATAATTAATTCAAAATATTATTAAAATGTCATTATTTTGTTCCATACTGGGTATAATTAGTTTATTGTCAATTTCGTAAACTAAGTTATTCTCTGATCTTTCAAGAATGTAGATGTTGCACTTGATTTTTTGTGTTTATGTATGAGCAAATCACATAAATTAATTCATTGAAAATTCTTAATAGTATGGTTATCTTTATCATTTATATTTTGGTGACCAATAAAAAAAATATATATATATATATATATAGATATATATATATATATATATATATATATATATATATATACTAAAAAATAAGAAACAATGCTTCTACCAATCTATAAATATTTGTATTAGTTAATAAAATCATTTACAATTCTTCCAATGGAGGATAAGTTCAGGAATTCTGTCACTAAATCATTTAAGATGCTTACTTACCTAAATCTTATTTAAATGTTTGTCAGGTAATTAAAGATTTATTGGTTATGGTGGAATGAATGATACTATTATTCTGAATATCATTAAGAAATTACTCTGATCAGTGCTGATTGGGCTGCGTGTACATTATAATGCACACAAACACAGCTAATCTTTGTTTACTGATCACTGTACAGTTATTTATCTTTAAATTAAAAAAAAAAATTATAATACTCATAAAAATAATATATTTCCCTGTTTTGAACAGCATTTATGTTTTAGGTAAATACCTCTTCAGCTTTAACATATTACCAATGTGATCAGAAGTTTTTTTTAGGTCTTATGTTGTAATTAATGTTTATTTTATACAGACAGAATTAAAAGAAATAAAACTTTTAATAATTAAATTATTGCTTAAAATTTTAAAAAATCTGTTGCAGTACATCAAACAATCTTCACTTACCATTCAACTAAGAATATTTCTATGCCTAATAAGATAAATAAATGACAATTAATAGGCAGTATGACAATTCTGTGAACAAAATATTTTTTGTTTGTCAAACTGAAAATAAATTGATTAATAATTGATATTATTAATTATTTAATTATATATTAAAATTTATTTAAATATAAATAAACAATATACATATAGTCATATCTGTTTCAATATGAGTTTTGACTAACATCAATCAAACTGTTAAAAGCATATAGAGTTGAGTTTTTCTGTTCTAAAACGTGTGCATGACATGATACAGTTGAACCTCGATAATTAGACTTTTTTGACAATTCAAAAACTTCAGCTGTGAACTTGTTTAACAAAAAAATGTTTTATTTTGATAGATCAATAACTCGAAATCTTTTTGATAACAAAATGGGAAAAGAATGTTCTATAGTTTGACCTAGACTACTTTCGCTCTTTATAATTAAAATTTTCCTAGCAATATTTTTTATATGAGGCTATTTATGTATATAATGTATGTAACCTCATACATATTTTCAAAACTATAATAAAAACTCACAATAATTCGAATTTTTTTCTTTCCACCTGATAATTCAAACTTCTTGATAATTCGAAGTCTCGATGATTCGAATATTTCTTGTAGTTCCTAGGATTTCAAATAATCAAAATTCGACTACAGTTAAAACTAATATTGGAAGAGATATATTATTAACAAGGAAAATTATTAGTCAGTAGTGTTTAATTTTACATTACCTTCTATGACTTGGTATAAGGGAATTAATTTTTCTAAAATCATTACTTTACTGACACTTCAAAAAATATTTCTCCTTTATTTGATTATAAAATTTTAAAGTAGGTACCTACCTGAAAGTAAGAAGGACATTTCAATATTGGTGTGTTAAATGTTTGTTACATAACATAGTTACTGATGTATTAAATTGTTAAACAAAAATAATTTTTAAGAAAGCAAAGAATAAGTGTTCTTCAAAATTCAGAAAACACACTATTGTAAAATCGAAAGTAAAATCACAAATTTAAAGGAAAACAAAAATGAAATATAATCATGTACCTGGGATACAACTCTTACCAAAGTCTCATGAAAAGTGAGTTGTAGGTGACCAGGGAAGTTATGATGTATGTTAGGAACATCCAGTTCTTGACAGTGTTATGGGAGGAAGCTATGTGGGATTTTACATGACTAATGTTAACATGTGTTAATATATATTCCATTGAATACATATCATCATAGGTAACCTATAGCCCGCATACTAATGTTAGTATAGTTTTTCATAAATTGTTTAATCTATTATCCTTTTCCTGGCTAGTGAATATTGTTAATATAGTCTTACTAAATATTTGACCATTTTGTTTCTTTACAAAATGGCCAATAGAAATTAGCATTCTATATTTTTTACTTTATATAAGAAAGTATTTACAAGATGTTATTCTCTTATGTCATTTCTTACTTATAGTTTGCAACATTTAAACAAAAAAACTATGATTTGAAATTTAAAATGGTTTACTTTGATGTATATTGACTGATTTATTATTGTTACAGGTGAAGTTAACATTGGAAACTCTCATCATCTATGATTATATGATAATTAATAATTGTCCACAAGTGATATTTGATTATAGAAACCACTTGAGGAAAAGAGTACTGAAAATTCTACTGATCTTTGGCTACTGAGTTGGCTAAATATTCTGTTCTTCTCAATCTGTTACCTCTAGGTTCTTTGTATAGTTATAAATGATAACAGTCAAGTGAAATTAATTCTATGAGAAATGCTTTTATGAATTTTAACTGAGTAGGTGAGGGTTTAGGAAAATACTTTGGTAAAATGTTTGTAGAGGAAAATCACTTGTTGATGTCGTAGTGATTACAATGCTCAATGTTGAAAGTACTAGTGCTTAAGATAATGATTATTTAAACTAATTCATTATGTGTAACAATGATTACGAATTGGTTTTATTCACAACTATTTTATATTTATATTATGGTTTTATTTTAATTCAAGAATTTAATTGTACATACTAATTTAATGAAAAATGTTTAGGTCAAATTTTTGTAGACAGGAATTAATTTTTTGTTATATAATTACTTCAAAAATAAAAAGCTGACAAAAATAAATAAGTAATTATTTTTTATTTTACTTCTTCTTTTTTTTTTTCATTACATTACCTTATTTGTATTTCATTGTCCAGGATATGCCATTACTACTTGAAAATGCTTTCAACATTTTCTACTTAAAAAATCTTTCAACAAAATAATTAAAAAGAAACGGTTTGCCAAACTACTACAACACAATTATTAGTTGCTATACCAAAGTGTGGACCGATAAGAGTGATCAGTATTTAAGGAAATATTAAGGTATCTTTATGAAAAAAAAGTAAATTATCTGAACCTCAACCGTTAAAAAAAAAGAAAAAGAAAAAAAAGAAAGAACCTGAAGCCCATGAGCAGAAATACAAGGGAACAAAAAGGCACTTGTCCTAAGTCGCATAATTTAGAAGTTAGAAAATTTCAAGCAAAACTGAGGAGAAGGATGGATGACATCTATCAACGCTAGTTGATAGAACAGCCCTGATGAAGGCCTGAACTTCGGGCCGAAACGTCGATGAATGTAAAAATAAATACAATTACGTATTTTATTTTGAATGATCACCACAACAATCCTTCTCTTCAATTATTCACTACAGTCAATCATCAACCCACAATTTTCAAGCAAAATTGTTATTTGGCTTAAAAGAATACATATATATATTTTATGGTTTTTGGTGGTTCTGGCCTTAATTTATATCCACAAATCTTCTTCCTGCCATAAAAATCCTTCCTTCTTTATCCTTGATTCCTTTGAGAGAATTCGGCCTTTCCTTCCTCATTCCTTTTATAACTTTGTAGAAGATCTTTTGGTTCTCTTTTGCATTTTTCTCCATTTTGTGACCAAAATCTTCCCATGATTTTTGTTTTGCTTGAAGAATTTTTGTCTTGGCCTTGGCGTTGGTCTTTCTTTCCTTGTACTTTCATAGACTGCAGGTGTTCTCTGGCTAAGGAAGAATTTTATCAGCGAGGAAGAACTGCAGGTAGCAGTTCTTAGTTAGACATCTCTAAGATGAAACTGGGAAAGTCTGCAGGGCTTGATAAAATAACTCCCAAAATGATGTGGTACATGTGCAGTAAAGGTGAAGAAATGTTTTTCCATCTCTTAAATTTGATTTGGCATAGGAAAAGGATACTGAAAGACTGGAAGATCGCTGTGGTGGTGCCTGTTTACAAGTAGGGAGACAATAGAGAATGCAATAATCATCGAGGTATATTTCTGCTCAGTGTGCCAAGTAAGCTCTATTCAAGAATCCTTGAAGCAAGGGTAAGAAGAGTAGTCGAATGCCAGATTGGAGAGGAGTACACGGGACCTGATTTTTACTTTGAAGCAGGTCATAGAGAAGTCTATCGAGAAAGGGAAAGAACTTTCTGTCTGCTTCATGGGTCTTGAAAAGGCATTTGACAGAGCCAATAAGGAGGATATAGAGTGAGCTCTGTCTGAAAGACAAGTTGACAACGGCAAGATTCTGGCTGTTAGGAGTCTCTATCGAAAGACCAGAAATATTATAAGGACTGGCAACCACACATCCAAGGAGTTTGAAACAATGCAGGGAATACGGCAGGGGTGCAGCCTAAGTCCCCTACTTTTCGTACTGGTGCTGGATCAAGCAGTATTGATGGAGAGGTGTCCAGAGGCTGGGAGCAGCTGGAAGAATGTTCTACTCAATCTTGAAAGGTCTCCTCAACAAAAGAGAAGTGATGAAGAAAACAAAGATATCCATCTACAAGTCAATGTTCCTGCCCATCCTCTCTTACTCCACTGAATCATGGACCCTAACCTCAAAACACAAGGGGCAGATCCAGACAATGGAGATGAGGTACCTAAGAAAGGTTGAGGGAAAGACCAGATGAGATAGGATCCGCAACACAACAATAAGATCGAATCTCGAAGTACAGCCGGTAGAAACCATTCTAGAAGAGAATAAACTTAGATGGGTCGGGTACCTTCTAAGAATGAATATAGAAAGGATGGCCAGAATATCATATGAGACGAGAGTGGACAGTAGAAGACTAAGAGGAAGACCACGGATCACCTGGGAAGAAGGCGTGCGGGAGGCGCTCAGGAAGCAAGGTCTGGACTGGAGCAGGAGGAGAAGGACACATGATCAAGCTCTATAGAGGACATTCCCAAACTGCACAGCGGCGGAGAGGGAAAGGATTATGAAGATGAAAAATTTATATTTAAATTTCAGTAATTCACAGTTTATTTTCATTCAGTCCTCTGGCATTTCAAAAAACTACACTGACAGAGGGTTGGAAATTTGAATAAAATATTACTTTCAAAGTGATGGGATAATAGATAATATTTCAGTATTTTTACAGGAATATATTTAGTTGATGGCTAATTGGTAAAAAAAGGAGTGGAACCTTAATAAAACGCATACTACTGTTTATGAAGGTTCTTCTTCACACCATCTGGAAGAAAATAGATGAAAGAGAAAGTGGCATAAAAATATTGAATAATCTATGTTTTCATGAGTCAGAAATTTTTCCCATGTGTCACATTAATCGACAGGATATTCATAACTGTTTTTTTCCATGGAACCGGATTCAAATCTTATGAACATTTACAACTGCGACCGCAACAACTTTTCTCAAAATGACCAAAATTACAAAAGTAACTGACAACTGACTTGATACCGATAAAGCTTTCAAGAAAGATCAATGCTTTAATTCAATCACACTAGCTGCTCCCATCTATTCAAGTAGTTCATTCCATCAGTTCATTTTGTCTGGCTGAACATTTTATTTCAAGTTTCTATAATTAGGATATTTGTATTCTATTCTTTTTATAACTATGCCTGATTGAACAATTTATTTCAGGTTTAGTTCTGTTACATGGTTAGATTTGTATTTTTGAACTTTTTATAACACTTTTGACTTATTTCTTGAATAATTTTGATTTAATTAATAAAGATCATGCAAAAAAATGATCAAGTAAACAAATCATGAATCATTTATTTAAAAAAATCAGTGATTAAGACCACAAAATAAGTGATGTGAGAAAAAATTCTCACACACGACCATCCATGACAAGATTGATCTAGCGACAAATGGCAGATTAACCATGCATAGTAATATTTAATTTTTCGAATAATTGTTTTAATTTAAGTGTGTGATATACATTTTTTATTGCTACTTTTATTTTTAAAAATCCCTGAAAACAGTTTATTTTTTATGTAATATTTATAAATTTTTGATAAATAAATATTGAAAGTATTGCAATGTTTCCATAATAAAATTAAATTTATATATACTTGTGAACTTTAACTCACAAATGAATTGTTTCAAACTGTGTCGGAAAGCACAATTCACCTGAGAGTTATACAGAGATTAATAATAAAAATTGGATTGGATTTTGTCATTAATAAGTTCACATTTATGTACAGTATATTTCTCTCAATAAGAAACAACATTTATTTAAACTAATCTTAAAACTTCAAAACTAGACCAACATTTAAATCTAAATTTTAAGTTCAACAGAATTTTTATATTTATTATTTTTTTTCTTTTTTATTATTTTACCAATGATTACAATACAGAAGTAACTAACAATGGACGATAGAAATGTACCTTTTGGCATATTGACACAAAGGAAGACACAAACCAACATAGAGAACAAGTTTAGATTTAATACTGTAGATTTTAGTTATTGTTACAAGATAAAAATAGAGTTAATATTGTACCTTCCTTGTGGATAACCAAATTCAATTTAATTCCTTTCAGGTATTTCCCTCTATCTACTATAAGTGCATTCCATATTAACATGGAATGCTGAAAGTTTCTCTGGGTAAAGAAACATATATTACAATGAAACTAGTTCACAATTTTAACTAAATAATTATTATTTTGGTTTTTCTTATCAGTCTGTAATATCAACAAATACTATTAGTATAAATCATTGAAATAATATTTCCAAATCATCAAAAGACCTTGTTAAATATAAATAAATAAAATTATAAAATTGTTTTCAGTTAATAAGTAATGTACATATATTAAAATATTTGTAGAAAATTTATCTAATTAAGTAAATCAGTAGTTCAATTATTTAATTTCTCTAAATTAACAAAGTGTTTGTTCTAAAGTAATATTTCCTATTTCTATAATATCATTCTCAAGGATTATAAAATAAATTAATAATAATAGAGCTCTACACATAGTGTTCACATTTAGAACAATTTAAAAAAATAAATAATTCGAACAGTAATTTATCTCACTGAATAACCTAATCTAATTAGGTTAATAATTATGAAATGTTTACTTTTTTAGTTTATTACCACACTAAAATTATATGAGTGGAATTCTTACACATTTACAAATATTTTAAACTTATTTCATACATATTTTACTTAAGTTCATACATCAAATATCTGATGTGAAAATTATGTACTAAAACACAGCATGTGATTAAACATGAAATAAGATTCTACCAATTTAACATAATCAATAATAATTTTTAAACTATAGTAATCATAATTTCTGAAACCATCAACTCTGTTTATTATTCCTTCCTTAATTTAATAAAGAGAGAAAAAAAACTATGCTTTCCCAAACTACTTTTTTTTTATAAGTAGAAAAACAGAAACTAAATATGAATACATTTTATATCAATACATAATCATACCTTTTTAATTATTTATAATAATATTTTTTTTAAATAAATAAATGCTTCTGCATTAGAAGTGTACAATAAGATTTATTATGACAAAAATAAAGGTCTTAATTTTCAGGATACATTATGTTGAACAACTTTCTCCAACAAATGTCAAAAATTGGAAGTTTTAGATAATGCAACATATTCATATAATACAAGCTTTAACATATTCAGCCCCAACATGATGCCTGGTACTGCACACATATTCGCTCAGAAGAATCAGTGCTCTACCATGCTTTTACATTCAGTATAGTCCAGGAGATCGCATTCTGTCGTTATTTTTATAGTAAGAGACCACATTGATCCCCATGTATACTAAAATCGTCTTGTTCCATGAAGAAAAACATTTTCTGATTTTTTATAAAATATTACTTTTTTTTTTTAACTTATCTCCAGATTGGCTTACATTTATTTAGCTTTATAATGTTCAAAAATATTAAAATGTACACAAGTAAAAAAATTAGATACTATTCATTTGGAAATTGGAATAAGTATGAATGCACAACAAAAATAAATCATTTATAATATATTTATATTATATATTAATAAGGATTTTAAAACTGTGTTATAATACATTTTTAATAATCATAAAGTATGGATTTTAAAAGATAATTACATTTTAAAATTATTTCTAACATATTAAATTTTATAATATCTACATTAAATTTGTTGTTGTGCAGACCAATGCAGTCACAGGAAATTAAAAAAATACATAAGTAGTAACAACTAAAAGTGAAAAAACTAAACAAAAAAAACAATAGTTAAATTAAAAAATTCTTGTGGGGCTGAACGTGCTAATATCCAACATATGGACAGAAGAAATTATAACTTAATTTAATTAATCATAAATAAAATGATTAGGAAAATAAAAGAACTTTTTAAAAAGAAGACAGTTTATGTTTCTGTTGAATAAATGAACTGGATACGTATTCCTTTAAATGACTAACAGCACTGTATAAGTCAAATATACTATTATGAAATGCAACAAGATTAAACATGTATAGTTTTAAATAATTTGATAATTTTTTTTTAGTTAAAAATTAAAAATTATAGAAATCACTTGATAAATAAACAAGCAAAACTAGATGAATAAGCAAAATATAATTATATAACTCAAATAAATTCTTTTTTATTGTAAAAGGTAATTTATTTCATCATTATTTTTTTTTTAATCAAAGAAACAAAACATTTATTGTATTTAACGGAAAAACCATTATAGCACATGATTTATTATTTTATTTTTGAACGATGAAATTACAGTTTATTTTTCATAAAATTGTGTTTACATGTCCACAAAGCTTATAAAGTTAATATTTGGGATCTAGGGTTTTATAACTTTTCGAAAATAAAATAAAAATAAGTAGAGGGACAAGCTAGTTGTGATGGCGAACTCATTGTGTTATTCTCGAGATCTTTGATCATATTATCTGCAATTTACATAAAATGAACAAAATAATAATAACTCCAAAATGTGGGCTTTTAAGAACATACCATTTATTTATTTTTTTAACTAATTAGATAATAAAAACAATAAAAAGTTACAATAAAGAATTATTAATGATCCTATAAAAACACAGTATAATGAATATTATAGTCATATTAATACGAATTCTTTATGCATAATGCTTAAAGTCTTTTTTAAATTTTTACAGTAAGCATAACTTCTATTAATTTTACTTTTAAAATTTCAAACAAAGATAAAATGTACAACCAATAGCAACACTTAATCAAATATAAATACCAGCAGGTGGTACATAACAAATTTAAAATTGAAACAATATATATATATATATAATAATTTAAGTACACAAAAAGCTAAACATCAATAGATTAAGGGGTTTATAGTATCACATTAGTCAAACATTTATTTTAATAGCCAAAACAAAATAAATTTTTGAATGAAACTAAATAAATAAAACATTTTACTTTGCCAATTAACCTTTCTTCGAATTTAAATTTTCTAACTACATTTAATTTCCAAAGTGAAGAGAATTTTAGAGAGCATGCATTTGGTCCTTTAAAATATTTTTTTAATATGTTTAAACATTAACTGTACATAAAACTTAACAAGTTAAAACATTATTTATTACTAAAAGTCTATATACAACAGCCACTATAGGATAGGGCATACCATGAGACAGTATTTATTGCATTGTGGTCCAAAATAGATAAAAATTAAATGAGGTATAACTTAGAAGGTATATACAATGAAAACAAACACTATATTTAGTTTGGGAAAAAGTTCATTAAATAGTCTATTATAATAAAATGTACCTAACCAGAATCTCCTTGGAGTAAGGGAGTTGATGCAGTGATGCTGCTACTGTGGTTTGCAGTCGGCTTACTGATGTTGTTCTGATGCCTCGAAAGAATGGGAGAAGTAATAGTGTTGCCCACAGATATATCGGATAGTGTGTTGCCACTAATTGGGCTGCCTTCGAGTGTATCACAACCAACTGTGTGGCCTATTGTTGTGTTACTGACTGTGCTTCCTGGCAAAGTATTGTTGCCAGAAGGTTCTTGTGTATCTGGTGGTGGGTCTCTTTCACCCAATAACCAGTAAGTAGTCATTTTGCCCTTACCCTGAAATATAAAAAGTGAAAAACTATGCTTTAAATTGTTCTTTAAAATATTGCTGAAACAATAAGTACTTTATTACAGTTAATTAAAAATGTTCTCAAACTATGGTTGAAGTTAAACATTTTTCAAATTCTAGTTTTTCATTTCCATTTTAAAAATAAATATAAAACTATTAATTTATTTTTATTTACTTTTTATTATTGCGGAAATGTCAGAAAAAATAAAAATAAATATTATTTATTTATTTTTACTTTGTATTTTGACTGAACACCCCAACTAACTTCTCTTCAATTATTCACTACAGTCAACCATCAATCCACTATTAAAAAACTATTATAATTTATTCATGGGTGCAATACTTTCATTACTTTATATTGTAAGTACAGGAGAATGAAAGTAAAAATAAATCAAAATATATCATAAAAATCACCTTCATTTCAATTTCTCCTCTCAATTCCAGTTCAAACGTCCCAAAGGTGTCTAGTACTTCTTTTGTTTTAGGAGAGACATGGATTTTAAGAGCTGAAAATTTGCAAAAAATTATTACTAATAAAAATAATTTAAGATTAGTAGTTAACATTTCAATTTAATGCATATTCATACTAATAACGCTAAACTTATTTTTATAATAACATAAGTAATAGATAATGTAGTATTGTAATATTACATGTTTTTACATATATTATTATAATATAATATGAATAAGAATATAATGTAATATGTCTTAGGTTTAGAGTGCTACCAATGGGTGGTTTCTCAACAAGCGTGTTTCATGTGATTATATTCCTATGTACACATTTACTTGATGTATTCATACTAATACAGTTGTAAATATCATAATAAAAGTTAAAAAAGTGACTTAGGTAGGCATGCTATATTCTTAAAATTACCTTCTCCATTTGATTCCATTCTTGAAGAAGTATTTACTGTATCTCCAAAAAGGCAGTATCTTGGCATTTTTAGTCCAACGACTCCAGCAACACAGGGGCCTGTATCATAACAAAATAAATATAAATACAGACTGGACAAATCAGAGAAAAATATATCACAAAATATTATGTTAAATGGAACACTGCTAGTTAATGAATTTAAGATAATCGAATATGAAGTTTCTGATTTCAAGTAAGTTAGGCTTACCTCACTTAATTAGTCTTATTAACCATCTGATCAATTATTTCCATGAAAGAAGTCATTAAGTACCAGATAGTGAATTTTGGAGTTCTACTTTAACCTTATTTAGAAAATAAAACATTTTTGTTTTAAGTAACTTTCATCCCATTAAGTGCCTAACTTGATGACTTTTTCCTCTGTTTAGTCAGAACATTGTACACTTAGTGAAACTAGTTTTTATATATTAAAGGATTTTTATTATTTTTATGCACTTAATGGGTTATTCTGTCGATAAATACGATCGGGATTAGGAACAATGAACCTTCTTGTTCAAACCAAAAGTGTACTTAGTGACTTTTCCCAATAAACTGAGGATATGATACATTTATATTTTAATTTAAAAACTGAAATAATTAAGTGATATTTTAAGATTTTTATAAAACGTTTCAAGGTTGCAATATAAAAAATAGTTTAAATAATTGTATTGATTTTACAATGAATGGTGATATTTAAATTCTGTATTGTTTCAAGTTTTCTGAGTCATTATCCTCTCTTTGAATCAAGTACGTGATACATTTTTATTCTATAAGGTTTTAAATGTTTCTCAGACAGCTGTGTTAGAAGGCTATTTATCAAAAATATTGTTATAGCCTTAATATTTATTGCTGTTCAAACAGTTTTATTTATAATATGCTTGCTATTATAAATTTCAATAGATTATAAATGTTTTTCATATTGTTTCATTTGGTGTTACTTCAGTCGCTCTAATTTTTGTATTAATAATAATAAAATAGAATAAGGGAAGTAGATGGTCCGGGGTGGCGGTCATAAATAGTCTAAATAATGGTAAAACTATTTTGTTAAAAGGCAACGTTTCGACCCAACTTTGCAGGTCTTCTTCAGGGCTAGAACGGACAAGATATAAAAAGATTGAGAATTGTGGAAATTACATAATATCTAGACAAAAAGTTATAAGCAATGTGAATAAACAGTAAGTAAATTAAAATATGAACAGAGCAAGCTAAGTAACAAGATCCTAAACTGAAGTAACTAGATGCTAACAATTTTGTAGTGTAATATATAATAAATGCAAATGTGAATATACTTCTATAGATATACAGGAGAGATTGAAAGAAAAGGGAAAAGCATATAATATGACATAATAGACAAAAAGGAATGTGGAGAAAGAAGAAAACCAAAAAAATAAATAAATAAGTAAATAAAATTAGAAGAATAAAATTAGAGACTTACAGGTGTGTTTAGCTAGGAATTTCACTTAGAACTGGAAAATCAGGGTAAGGGCAGGTATTGGGGAAGCTGACTTGTTTGGGTAATGGGGAAAAAACCTAGAAAATTACAGTGATGCTGTTTATAATGTACTTCCTGTTTATAATTTTAATAAGCTTATTCATATTGCTTATAATTTTTTGTCTAAATATTATGTAATTTCCACAATTCTCTATCTTTTTGTATCTTGTCTGTTCTAGCCCTGAAGAAGACCTGCAAAGTCGGGTTGAAATGTTGGCTTTTAATAAAATAGTTTTACCACTATTTAGTCTATTTATGACCGCCACCCCAGACCATCTCCTTCCTTTATAATGAAATGGTCAACTATTAAATATTCAATAAATTAGAATAAATTTATAGATATGAAAGGTGCATATAATGTCCTTGAAAATTTAAAAAAGATTTTGATTGAATGTTATGTATACTCAAATAAATTAGTAATAATATTTTATTTAAATAATTATAAATTTTTACCTGTGTGCATTCCTATTCTTAGTTTCAGCTGATCCCATGGACGATGCCTGATAGTAAAAGATTTTACCATTTGAAGAAGCTTGAGAGACATGCGAGCGATTTCTCTGGCATGTAAATTACCATTCCTCATTGGTAATCCAGAAACAACCATGTATGCGTCACCAATTGTTTCAACCTGCAAAATTCATGAAACATTTTATATTTAGATATATTTAATTTTTTTAATACATTAGCACACAGAACCAAGAATACTAGTCATTAAAAAGAAAAAAATATCTTCATTTTTATCTTGAAAGATATTATTTAGTTCTGATTTATAGTATATATAATTATATATGGTATAGGCCAACTTTTGAAAATGATGTTTTTTTATTTTTAAAGATATTAAAAAAACATATTATACATTTTAAAAATACATTAAATTTATTTTAATTTGAGACCAGAATAGAATCGGTAAATCTAATAGGTTTGGACTTACAGTTTTTAAAAATTTGAAAATTTTTCCAAATTTAAAAATTTGAAGCTATAATAATTTTCATGTTTTATATTATGCAACCGATATGATATGGGTCAGGAAAATAAATATTTATTTAATTTAACATTTTAAAAAGGGAAGAAACCCATTCATGATCAAAATAAGAAAAACCAATAAAAGTGCAAAAATTAAGGAGTTTTGGGGATATTCAAGAGTGATCTGAGGGGGATTTCGAAGGTTGAAAACTCGGATTTTGCATCTCAGTCATATCCCACACAGGCATAGAAAAAAACAAAAAAAACCACCTACTTGATGCAACATAGATCTCTTTTTTTTTAATGTTATTGGACAATGGTGTATGAATGGGAAGGCAAGGAGGGAGCTGTTACTCCAAGATATAATTTGAAAGAAAATTTAGTTTTAAAAATTGTTATTTTATGTAAATTTGTATTTAATATAAATGTATTCAAAATTTCAATAAAAAGAAACTATTTAGCATAATATTATAAGTTTGAAATGATTTATCCACTGGAGAATTTCTATCTCCCCCCCTAAAAAAAGCTGCTGCATTGGCACTCATTACTGAAACTCTGGACTAAACCCCTTAAATTATTATAGCATTTATTTTTTCCGTAGGGGAATTTTATGGATTATGTATTATTTAATCGTTCACTTAGTATCTACTTTGATTTTTAAAAAACATTTATGCGTTTATCCATAACTAAATTTAATCCGAATATCAAAGAAAATTCTGTATGCTTCTACAATATGTAAAACATTCTTTCCGACCGTATTTTCTGAATTATATTAATTTCCTGTTCTCTGTAGAGATTTTAATTAAATTCTAATTAATTTCATAGATACACCTTGCGTTCATATACAACTTCCTGTTAGCGGTTGGATATTAAATTCACACTCTATTACATTTTCTATCAAATAATTGCAAACATATCCCTGAAACTCTGAAAGAAAATAAACATGGCATTAGTTGTAAAATAGATAATTGCAAGGATGAAGAATTATTAATTAAGATAGTTTAAATTATTCATATAATTAATTTGCCTTCTGAGAAGTGAGGGGAACATATTGCTATTCAGGCTTGGTTTTCCCTAATTAATAATTCATCACTATCACGAGGCAAATGGTTCAGGATTCTAAGGATCGTATTCGTGACAAGAATTGCCAACATTCCTACAAATGGAACCTTAATTTGATGTACAAGTGTCAAACATCGGAGGTTAGGAATGAAGATGAAGTTAGCAATAACAGAAAGCGACAGAAACCTACATACTTTTTTAATATGTTTTACTATTTTTTAAGGGAGAAAATTATTAATATTTGTGGATAATTATTAGAATATATAAAAAATATGGAATTTTCTTGGAACAAACAATTATAATAAATAGAAAAACACTAAGTTGTATGGTTTAGACCATACAGTCCGTGGTACAGATCTTTTTTTATCGGATTATTAACATCCGCCTGAAACTTCGTAAATAGTTCCATCTCATCGTAACCTACAACTATTTTATTTACGAAAACTCCTGAAATTGGGGGCGTTTTCAATCTGGATGGGGGCAAACTTTGTCTATTTAATTAGGTACAAAAAACTCGTAAATACCCATTTGCTTTCTACTTGGATCGTAAGATAAATTGGTCACAAAATCGATAAAAAAGGTGGCCTACAAAAATATTGGGCAGTTTGTCCTATATAACCGCGTTATTTTGAAAATTTGGGGGTGTTGGTCACGTCAAACGGATCAATATTTTTGAAGGCCACCTTTATTTTTCGACTTTGTGATCAAATTATCTTACGATCCAAGTAGAAAGCAAATGTATATTTACAAGTGTTTAATACCTAATTAAATAGAAAGAATTAGCTCTCCCCCCTCTAGATTGAAAACACCGCAATTCCAAGAGTTTTCATAAACAAAACAGTTGTAGGTTACGATGAGATGAAACTATTTACGAAGTTTCTGTCGGATGTTAACCATTCGATAAATAGGGGTCTGTATCACGGACTAATACGATAGTTGTGAAAACACCAACAAGGCGAGATTAATAATATGAAATATAAATTATAAATAACAGCTCATTATAAAGGGGATGGAATGCTGAATACGGCGTTGAGTTAAAATACAATTTCGAATAATAACTCATGATGATGAACATTTCCTTCGCTTACAATATGCAGGCCCGATTATTAGTTTATGAGATAATTTAATCCATATCTTCAATGAAATTCGTTATTATTTGGTTTTCGACATTACTTTTTTTCTTTTTGCCTCTCTAATACGGCATTGCGTTAAGATACAATTCTGAATAATAACTCATTACAAAGAGGGTGAAATGATGTACATTTCCCTCGCTTACAATAGGCAGGCCCGATTATTATTTTATGAGATAATTTAATCCATATCTTCAATGAAATTCGTTATTATTTGGTTTTCGATATTATTTTTTTTTCTTTTTGCCTCTGTAATACGGCATTGCGTTAAGATACAATTCTGAATAATAACTCATTACAAAGAGGGTGAAATGATGAACATTTCCCTCGCTTACAATAGGCAGGCCCGATTATTAGTTTCTGAGATATTTTAATCCATATGCAAAAACGCTTCAATTAATCCACTCCAGCCGACTTTACTCTAGCAATACACATCGGAATCTGGCCGTTCAATCTAGTTCACTATGCACTAAAAAAGTGCAAAACGCTCTAAAAGAAGCTTTCAAATAAAAAAAAAAAATGGTAATTCCGACATAGCTTGCAAGCTTACAACGGACATGGGGTCACCAATTTCAATGATACCCTTTTTTAATGATATTAGTTAGTAATATATTTGACCACCAGTTAGTATAATAGAAAAATATTACCCAAACTCCCGCAATCAAATTAGAACTGGAGATATAAAATAAAAACGTTAGAGGAGCTATTATTTATAAAGGTGTAAAATCTAAAGGTTATCGATATGGTTTGGAAGAATTCTAGTGTTTCTAGTTCTGCTTTACAGCGGATGCAGTACAATTAGAAGGTATTCAGTAGAAAATTCTCAGGAGTTACGAATACGTTAGTAAACGGCATAAAAAAAAACGTCCTATATAATCAATTCCGAAAATTTGTATTTTTAAATTTCAAAACAAATTCTTATTTAAGAGTTTCAAAGGCCTTCAGAAACGATCCTGAATCGACTTTTGAATACGAAAATTTATGGAGCCTACTTTACTCGAAGCGTAATTGTTTTTTACTTTCCTACCTATACTAGATAAGGAAAGTAATGTAATCGGGTCAAATTTCCGACATGCGGTTTTCGACGGATCTATACGTTCCAGATCCTCCTGAGTCCGAAAAACACATTTTTAGCCATTGGCCTATCTGTCTGTGCCAAGATTTTTTCGGAAACTACTGAACCGATTTTGTTGCTTCTTTTTTTATTTTGTAGGGTTTTGACTACTGATGCCTGTGACGAAAATTCGGTGCTCCATGCGCATTAGCTTGCGCGCATTAAATGAAAAACATGTTTTTCTATAGACTGTAGCGCATAAACAGCTCTAACGATTTTAATGAAACTTTCCTATAATGTTCTAATCATTGTTCTTTTAATTTTCGTATATAGACTAAATTCTTGAAAAAATTCAGGAAAAAAAAATTTAAAAAGAAAAGAAAAACGTTATGGGGCCTAACTCCTTAAGTATATATTATACGGTAATATTTATAATAAAACTTTTGAAAGGTCATTAAATTGCCTACAGAGCCGTATAAAAATCGTTCATTTTGGACAACTATTAACGAAGTTACAGTTATTCAATTCCCAATGTAAGATTACGGTTTCATATCCTGCTCTCAGAAAGGGGTGGATGAGAGAATAAAGATGACTAAGTGAAAGTAAGAAAATCTGTTGCCCACATCACACAATCTTCACTATTTCCTCTACTTTTAACATAAATTATTGTTTGGCAATACTAAGATAAAGTTTTTGATCAGCAATATTAGGAAATATTGAAATTTGTACACTGATTTACCTTAAGCCGGTTTACATTGCTTTAGTTTGTCAAATAAATCGTACTCAAATCTTATGTTTGATCAATTTTTAGGAAAATGTATCTAGTTCAATTCTTTTTTGTTCCTTTATGAACATATGTAAAGATATAAAAACTTTTCTGAAATAGGTAGGAAAGTCGTGTGAGAGGACACATCAGATATTTTAATTTAATATTCATTTTAGCTGGCTTGATTTATCAAAACCTAGAAATTAACGCATAGAAAATGCAGAAAACAATAATATACAAAATGGTTAAAATTGGATATGATATTTTTTACTCGGCTCATAGGGTGCAATGGCAAGAATTTTCGGGCAGGGTCAAATATTTTTCAACCAAGTATCATTGAAAAACATATTAAAAAAAGTTTATTGAAATCGCTGACCCCACGTCCTTAAGCTTGTTATCAGGAAAAAAAATACAGATCTAATAGTCGTAAAAAAATTCCAATGGAAGATAACCTAAAAAATTGTAAATATAAAATTAATTTTAAAATAATTTAAAAAAAAAGTCGATCAACGTTTTTAGTTTATGTTTAACATAGGATCTGTAAAATAACTAGTAAAATAAAAAAATTCCTTATTCAGCAAAATTCTTGCACAAAGATGAATGAGAGCATAAATCTTATCTAAAATGGTGAATCTTCATAGATTTTCTAATGACGTTTCACTGAAATAAATCGTTTTTAATAATTTCATTTTTATTTCTTATTTATTCTAATGTAATATAAAAACAATATCACTGGTTCAGTGGCAATAATACCACGAAATAAATAAAGATCTCCAAGACATAACTTCTCCAATATAGAAGAATCGCCTCGATAACTTTTGGAAGCTTACAAGAGTTGAGTAACGGGTCTTGGAAAATCCCTGGTGTTTGATAAAGGAAAAACGTTTTACGGATAAACTTTCTTTAACCCATTAGTGTCTAAAGCTTTTTCAGGTTTAAAAATTATATTTGTTTTTTTTTTAAATATCACACCATCCTCCTACCATAATAATGAGTTTGATGTCAGAAAAAACAAAAAGTAGTTCCTATACACGAGGGACCCTTTAATAGGTGGACAGTCCACTGTCAATCATTTTAATTTTGATACTAGATAATTTTTTAAAGGCTATGTAACTTAATAGCGTCTGGTTACTAATGGATTAATGACAAATTGGCAATTTAGTTATGTTGTCATCTATTTCATTATCGAGCGAAATCTTCCACGGGAATACAGAGAAAGATCATCATCAATCATCAATTGTTCTGTTTGAACAAGACTGTTTCATTAGAAAGATCAAATAATTTAAAATTGATTTCTCATTAAAAATAAAAATGTGCAACTTTATTAAGTAAAATTTTATTTAAAATATGTTATTTGTTTGGATTATAGTAATGTGTTTGGTTTTCAATGTTGGTGTTAAAATATATTAAATTTTTGAGAGTGTAGGTTTTTGTTGATCGCTATTTAAAAGCCTTAAATAATTTTTTTTTCTCATTAACTTTTCCTTCAAAAATCTTTTTATGGTAACTCAGACCCCACTTGGGCAGAAGAAAAACTTGAAACATACTTACGACAAAGACAAATGTGGATATATGAAGTATAATTTTGTGATATTAAAAAATAAATTCACATAAGCAAAATAAAAACAATCCGATTATTAATTCTTTGAAAACATATAAATACGTCACTGTGAATTTCAAACAACATAATATGAAATGACTTAAACACTGCAAGAGTAAAATCTTACATTCACGACAAATACACTACATTTTATTCTTCAACTCAAAACCACCCCAATCTAGTAGTTCTAAAAACTTTTTCTTCCGTTACATGGTCGATGTAGGTTAAAAATGGCCTACAGATCTACTGCTTTAACAATAATTAAATCGAGGTAACTACCAGGGAAAATTAAAGTAAATAAACATTTACATACAATTTGGTAGATTCAAATTTAGAATACAATTTTCGTTAAAGTTTCGAAGGTAAAAAACATTCACTGATATATTGGGGATAAATCGTGGTCAAACCAAGTGGTATGAGATTTAATGAAGTTATTTTTAGCTTTTTAATTACTTCAAACGCCGACCATAAAGCTCCTTAAAAACTTTCTTCAATTTAATATTCTTTCAAACATAATATATTTTTATGTGCGAGGTTGTGGCCAAGTTCTTGAGGATATAATCCCATAACTGTCTTCTCACGGTCAAGAACCATTTCTTTCTTGAGGAGACCAGAGTTCAAGCTTTTGACTGAACATAGCATGGGCCTAAACTGAGGGATCGATAAACATTTCTTATAGTAAACAGCAGTAATCACCGGTTCTGGCAAGAAGCCTAAAGTTGTATTTAGCTGTCTAGATTCCTATCCAAACATCATTAAGCTATGTCAAATAAATGGGAAAGAACAACAACTTAAAAATGAAAGTCACTTGCAAACATCTCTTAAAAATCTTACAAAATTATTTCGAAAACAAGTCACATATTTGAATTATTAATTCAACTCTGGTTATTTGAATGGAAAGAGCTAAGAAGAAAATCCAGCTTAATTTCTTATTGATTTTATTATACACTAGCAGGGAAAAAATTCCAACCACTTGATTTTTTCATGTTTTCATCTAAAAATATTTCTGCTTTGGATTGGTCTATTGTTTTAATACATAAATAGGTAATCTTTTTGTTTGTTTTCAATTTGGAATGTTAATATAGAGGACAATAACCCTTAATCCTTAATTCAATGAAATTATTCTAGATTCCAATGTTTCCAAGATTCCAAAATTCCAAAACGAACCATTATTATTCCAAATTAAAGAAATTAATCACATAATCGTTTAGTAGCGCGTGTTTCCTCCTCTTGCCTTCACTACTTCTTGAAGACGCCTCGGCATACTTTCCACAAACAAGTCGGGAAATGTCCCTTTGCTGGAGGATAGCCCGTTCCTCCCGAAGAGCCCTTTCAAGGTCCTGCAGTGTATCAGGAAGTGTTGCACGCGCTCTTATTCGTCTTCCGAGGTTATCTCATAAATTCTGAATTGGGTTCAAATCTGGAGAACATGCTGGCCAGGCTAAAACCTCAATATTGTTCTGTTGAAGAAACGTCTGCACTATGTGAGCGACATGTGGGCGTGCATTATCGTGCATTAGAATAGAACGATCGCCGATTTCGTTGAGGATAGGCAACACATGAGGTTCCAAAATCTCATCTACATAGTGAATGGCCGTCATGGACCCTCCACGAACAACAGTTGAAAGATGCGAATTAATGTTAAAAGCCAAAAAAAAACATTATTAAATAGTTCCTTTTATACTCGAATAACTACAAATACTGAAGCAGAGTTGACTGAGTACTCTATGTTATTTTTAAAAGACAATATATTTAAAAATAAATTAATATATATTAAATTTTCATTTCATGGAATGTTACTGTGATATAAAATCTGTCGTTGCTGAATAAATTTCTTCTTTGAATAAAAAAAAAATAAATAATAATAAGTTTTCCTTCACTAAATTCACCTTATAAACATCGAAGTTCTCGATGGTGGAGTCAAAGCATGTGTAGAGATCGTTGAGGAGTTCGACCACCTGTAGTGGCGTACTCTCTGCGCTCAGCGAAGTGAAGCCGACGATGTCGCTGAAGTATATCGTCACACTGTCGTACGTTTCGGCCACCACCGACTGCCCGAGGATCAACTGGCTGGCCACCGACCTGTTTAAAAAACAATATTTAGTAGTAACAATTTGCTACTCCTTGGAGTAAACAATAAATTAATAAGGTTACTTAACCGGTACAAGCAAAATAAAATAAAAATGATTTTGAAAAGAAACACTAAGATAATGAATTATCACATCTTCTGGGCTACATATTCTCAGTTAACTTACGAGACAAGCGATTTCATCTATACCAATGCACAAAGATCCTTTTGGACTTTAGAAAGAAATTCAAATAATAAAAATATGGAATTTTTCTAATGCTGCCAATCTATATATTAAATTTCATATCACAGCGACCTGGACATTAGAATAGATTATTATATTCTAAGCAGTGGTAGATACTAACAATAGGGCTTTCGAACTATCGACAGTACTGTCGAAATACCATTAGTTCAACTGGACCACTTTAATAACTTCATAATACGAGACCCTTCAAGAATAGACAACATCTGACATATATTCCTCAGTAAATTGCAGTAATGCTCTATGCCATCATGATCATCTTAAAAGCGGTTCTATATTAGCTCAAAATATCCGAAATTAGCTTGAAAGAAATAATTTATTCATTAATACCATGGAAAATACTTTATTTTTAATTTGATCAGCCAGGAGTGGTAAAGGATTCATTTCTTTATCACACATAGAAAGGTGACAAATTGCGGTAAATGAAAGTGAAGTGTGACAACTTTATAAATACAATTTTTTTCTAGCCGTAAACGTAGTATGCATTTCTCGATAGAGCTTGCTTTCATATGCAAGACAATGTTAATTATATTTTTTTTATTTGGCAAAGTATTTTAGAAAATGGTATAAGGTAAATTTAAAAATAACTCTGGGAATATTTTATGAATTTGAAAGTTTAGATTCTATAAGGCTACTCTCTGCTTAAATACTAATCCTATATATATATATATATATATATATATATATATATTAACCCTTATTAATATTGTGATAAATTAGACATACAAAATATGCAAAAGGAGAATTTCTAGAGATAACCTACTTCCAGAAGTGGTTCAATATTTATTTTATACAGATGATATAGTACTGATTGTTGACGAGCGAGAACGTTCACAAGTATCGGATAATAATGGAAATAAATAATAGCTGGTTTTATTATTAAACTGATAAAATTTAAAAAAACAAAAAACAAAATGGCAGCTCTTGTATCAACTGGAAGTGCAGGTCGATGGGAGTCGATAGAAAGGAATTCGGTGTTCCTGTCTTCCGCTGAAGAACCACTCTTTGGTTTCCATTAGAGCTAAATAATTTTTCACCTAGAGTGGGCCATCTATCATGTTTGATATTAAAAGCATTCAACGATTCTGCATCAGTTTTCCATTTTATTTGGTTTAGGGATTGGCAGGTATCAAGAAACACTGTAAAAACAATGTCAAAATATGAGAGCAGATTGTTTTGAATACAATACGATTCATTTAAATTATTGTGAATATGAGCTCTATTTTTTCGTACTCCTGTTATCTCATTTGATAATAAATGGTAGAAATATCCCGTTAAAATATTTATATAAAATATTCAAGTTATTTTTTAAGCTTCTTCGGTATTAATAAACTTTTAAAGCAATTATTATTAAAACAGGTGTTCATACGTAAATTGAAATTTTCGTTAAGAAATAAAATAGACCCAGTCTTTTAAGGTCTAGCTAGTAAATAGTTTAAGGATACCACTTAATTTCTTTTTTGTCTAAATGCTTAAACTATTATTTTTCAGTTGGTTTCCATCCCACTCTATTCCAGCAATCTCTTCGAACAGCCCTGATGAAGGCCTGAACTTCAGGTCAAAAAGTCGGCAAACGTTAACATAAATATTATTATTATTTTTTTATATATACATTACATCATGTCATAATGATAAATTACATGATTATTATTTATTTTTGCCATTTTATTTCTGACTAATCACCCCAACCACCCTTCTCTTCATTATTCACGACAGTCATAGACTGAAATAAATAAATCTTTCAAACAGACATTCGTAAAAGGCTTTCTAAAAACTGTTTGGACGAACAATCGAAACATCTAGTTCGTCAAAGCTTATTCAACAATACATTAGTGATTTACATATATATATATATATATATATATATATATATATATATATATATATATATATATGTATGTATGTATATATAACTTACGTCGGTTCGAACTAGGAAAGATAAAAAAAAGAAAGAAAAGAAGAGGTTTGAAATGAAACGCGTGGTTGCTCAAATAAGACTGCCTTTATTCTCTCCGTAATGCTATATATATAGCATTACAGTTTGTTTACAACTATTGACTAGGATTAACTCTTATATAAACTTACATCTAACCATAACTCCCCCCCGCCAGTTTATGAACACTTCTCATAAACTAACGCAGGGTTAGTGAAATAATACATAACAAAACATAATTCATAACAAAAACAAAATAATCTTCGTAACAAAACAAAATAATCTTCCTTGGCGTTCCCATACAGCCATAGCACAGAACAAACAAAATTAACCATTTTCCTGCAAAAAAAACAACAACAACAAAAAAAACAAAGAACTACAACTGAAACAAACCTTCTACCGTCCTTCCATAGCCTGTAGGAGACAGGAAAGAGGTTATACCACTTATTTACGTTACTGACCCGGCTCTATCGGGAGTTTCAACTGTTCTATGTGAACGGTCCTCCGTTTCCTGGGATCGTTCAGACTCTGAATTGTGCAAAGATTATGTTCGCGAAGTACAATCACTTTGAATGGTCCTTCGTAGCGTGCCAGTTCTTTCCCCCTATTAGAACCTACCCTACGATAGACTGTCGTCCCTATCTTCAAATCACCCATTCTGTCCTTGAGGTGCAAATTGGCCTTCTCCACCCTTTTCCGTTTTTCACGCTCTATTTTCGCTCTCGTTGTTTCCCACACCCTCTTTATCTCTGCTCTGTTACAAGTGATCCGTTGAGCTTGTGTTTCATCCGTAAGTGTTTCCATCCAATCCCGTCGCCGTATATTTACTCCAAACAATACCTCGACCGGGGAAAACCCTGTAACGGAGTGGATTGAATGGTTATAGGCCGCTACTGCTCTTTTCATGGCTACATCCCCTTCCAATCCCTGCTCCCCTTGATAAATACGTAGGTGGTCGCTTAACGTGCTGTGCAACCTCTCGATATTTCCTCTGCCCTTTGTATGTCCCGGAGTATTAAAGTGCCAATCTATATCTAAACGTTTAACCTCCTCACGTACGGTACTGTTGTCGAACTCCCTCCCTCCGTCCGACGTTATGCGATCAGGCACTCCATAGAACTGGGCCCACGTTTGCAGAGCCTCCACAACTGCCTCTGACTACTTATCTCGTACTTGATGTGTCATTGCTACCTTGCTGAAGAGGTCGATCATTGTAATCCACTTTAACCCCCTCCACGTAAATGTATCAATTTGCACATCTTTCAACGGTATGTCTCCCGTAGGGGTTTCCTCCTGTAATCCTTGAGGTGGCCGTCTATCGTATTTAGTGCGCGCACACACTTCGCATCTCCCAATGATTTCTGAAATTGTCTTTCTCATGTTATCCCAGAAATACCTTCTGCGCAACGCTTGAAACGTCTCTTGTTCACCCCGATGGTTGGTCTTGCCCTGGTGGTGTGCCAGTGTTACCTCCCTCTGCTGCTCCTTGTCCGTCACCGTTTCGACTAAGTATTTACACCTGATAAACGATCTGTCGATGCCTATTTTTTCTGATCTCCAGAGTTTCCTGATTTTTTCCCAGATGGTTGCATTCCCCACATACAGGTGGTGAACCTTTCCCGGCTCCGAGGCGTCGTGCAAAGCCTTACAAATTTGTTCTTCTTTCACCCCTGGTTGGGACCAAATGGTGTTCACCTTCTTCCTTCCATACTTACTGAAGTCAATCTTCATGAGTCCCGACGTTCTGGTTTTCCAAATTACCTGTCGTCGCTTGTCATTGATGATCTCTTCGCATTCCTCGATGTCTGTAGGCCTTTCTTCCACTGAGCTCTCTTCTCCTCTCGATTCCTCTGCTTCCACATTCCCTGGTTCCCCTTCCCCTTCTGGTGTCCATGCTCTCAAAAACTGCCGCACGTCCCGCGACGACTCTCCTTCTTCCTCCTCGATAGCATTTATCATTATGGCTCTGGACAGCCAGTCCGCCACCACGTTGTCTTTACCTGGCTTATATATGACCTCCATATTGTACTGGCTTAAAAATTGCTTCCACCGAGTGACCCTGGCCGATGATTCCTTTAAATTACCAACCCATTGCAACGGTCTGTGATCGGTATGCACCCTAAATTTTCTGCCAAAAATATACGGCCTAAAGTGTCCTACCGCCCATACAATGGCCAAGAGTTCCCTTTCCAAGGCGCTATATCGCGTTTCCGCATCTGTAAGCCGCCGACTCGCATACGCTACTGGCTGTTCCCCCTTAGTTCCCTCTTGCGCAAGTACTGCCCCCAACGCATACTCACTCGCATCTGTAGTGACAATAAACATCTTCGCAAAATCGGGGAAAGCGAGTACCGGCTTATCCTGTAACCGCGCCATGCATTTCCTTACGTTATCCTCTATCTCTGACGTTATTATTATCTTCCGGCCTTTCTTCAGAAGATTATTAAGAGGTGCTAAATACTCCGCCATTTCCGGCACGAACCGACGGTAATAGTTGAGTGTTCCCAATAATCTGCGGATCCCTTTTACATCCCTGGGCATCGCCATATTTTGTATCGCCTCGACCTTCTGTTTATCGGGCCTGATCCCCTCCTTTGAAATGGAATGTCCCAGAAATGTTATCTGGTCCTGTCCCAGGATCGACTTTTCCGCCGACAACTTCAGCCCAAACTGCCTTAATCTGTCGAATACGCGCCCTAAATGATCGACGTGTTCCTCTTCATCCTTACTAAAGACCAAGAGATCATCCATGTAGACTTGACAGAATTCTTCGTCTAATCCTCTCAAGAATTCGTCCATAAACCTCTGGAAAGTTATGG